AAGTTACTCGAGTGTCCTTATCATTTTCGAGCATCAACAAAGGCATAACTCTTATGCAATCTTACTTCATTATTTTCTTATGATAATCACACAACATTATTATCACGTTGTTATCTCGCCATTATTATCAAGCTCTTATATAGAGCTCAAAGCCATAACACACATCAACCAATTCCAAGCAAGGGAAATCAATGTAGCTTGGCTACTCATTATCGTAACTTGCCATAATCAAGTGAGGTCATCTCCTCACTCACCACTATCTCGCTTGTTCTCTCATCTAGAACATTATTCAAGGGCTTATTAGTCCTTTAGTGTTTTATGCCCTTAAAGTAATTAATATTAATTGCTACCCACTCGGTACATTATTACTATCCTGATACTCGATTTAGGGTTGATTCAATGATCGCTTTCTTCACACTTCTCGTCGGTTCACCCTTGAACCAATGTAACTTACCCGTCTTTGATTTATAGATGTACATGTGATACTCGATTTTCTCTATCATGTTATTCATGTGGTTCACATCTCACTCGTAGGAACCTCTTATGCAATGATCATTTATTCATAATTACCCGATAAGTGCTCAAATGAGGGGTACTTAACAGTATTTCACCCCTTTAGGTTATTTTGGTCATAACTCACTTCTAAGAGTGTTTCTAGCCACTTTTAACCCTTTAAGTCTCTCTTATGCTATATCCCACTATTACGGGTTATCTCTAACTCTTATGGGCCTTAACAAAGTCGAATTTGACCATCCAAAATAGGTAGTATCGATACCTACATGTAGTATCAATACTCCATAGTCAAGTATCGATACTTCCTTTAGTACTGGTACCAAAAACAACTTCGAAGTTGCTAAAAAAAATCCCTCCAATATCGATACTGACACCCTTCATATCGATACCAGAGAAGCAGTATCGATACCCCCTTATAGTATCGATACCACCCTTATAAAATGCCTAGAAATCATCCCATTTCATACAGTATCGATAGTCAAACCTAGAAATGTCTCATTTAAGGTCAGAAAACACTCAAGAATCCTCTTAAACACCCTAGCTTGGTCCCAAATCAACTCCTAGAACTTAGAGAAGTTATTTAGGGTCATTTGGCACAATAAAAACCCAAGCTTTTCAACTGTAACTTCATCCAAGTCATAAATCAAGAAAAAACCCAAATCTCAATAAAACATCATGATTATGTAAGCCACAACACCATAAAATATTAAAAATGCATTATCTTGATGCTAAATTCCCGAAATAAGCTTACTTTCGACTCTACTATTGTTGTTTTCTCTTCCTCTTGAACTTGAGTACTCAACACCCGCTTTTTCTAACCAAAGAGAAATAGAGGAGTATTTAATCTAAAACTAAGTTGCTGGAAGACTTAATGATGGATTTTAAGTCAAAAGAGATCATAAAAGATGCTTAAGAACTTACCTTTGAGCAATGGCACTTTAGGGAGAAAGAATTGAGAAGAAAATGAGATAGAAGAAGATAAAGAGCAAAAGATAAAAGTTTTTTTTTCTTTTTAGCCCCAAATCCCCATCCCAGACACTCCAAAAATCCCAAAATATCATCCTTGTTTTTATAAAAGGGATAATTTTACTTTTGGGCCTTCTCATTTGCCTACTTGTAAAAAATCTCATTTTTATGACTGGCCCAAATTAAATCCAATTAAGCCCACTTTTCCTAATGGTTCTTAATGGACTATTGGGTTCATCTAAAACCCACTCAGGTCAATCTGAAACTACTAACGCAAAATTTGGGGCATTACATGTGTAGTCTTTGATGAAACAATCTTTTAATCTCAAGTTCAAAAGGAAAAAATAATTCTCCTGATCTTCCTCGAGTCATTAAACAATAGAACACATAAAGAAGATCAATAAAAAATAAATAAATGGTGAAAAAACTAAGCTTAAAATCACCAATTGTCAATATTCGAAAATGAAGCCATAAACTTATTGCGTGTGTAAATGTGATGATCAAATTGTGCAAGTATACACGTTGATAAAGTAATAAAGTGATAAGTGATATTGTCAACACAAGGATTGGAGGGAAATTAAGATAAGTAAATGCACTCACAAAATAAACAGAAGTGTTGCGATTGAAGTAATATGAATATGGTGTAACAAAAGTTGTAAAAAAAGAAATGAGAAATGGGATTCAAGAGATAAACCAACAAAACCACACATGTGTGGAGTACTTAATAAGAATAAAAGGTTGGGTTTACTATGGAATCTTATGATTTGTTCTAAAGATATGCCTAGCACACACAATTACTACATTTCTCGATAAAGTTTATAAATATGCCCTTGCACTATTCCTAGCAAGAGACTGATAATAAAATGTTCAAGCGATACATTACTACTTAAAACCCTAGCAAGTTACTATCCTTTAAACCTTACTCTTTTTATTCATTGAAATCCTTCCTTATTCATAAGGTGAGTTAGGGTTAAGCTTTACAGCTCAACCTCATTATTTACGTAGATCTAAATTAACTCTTTCGAATATTAAGCATCTAACTAGGTCATGACCTACTTCTAAGGGTTGTTACTAACCTAAGTAAGTAAAATAGGGAACAAAACAATGCTTAGACATTCATTCAAAGAAAATCATCATCATCCATAATAAACTCAAGCCAAGCTAAATCAGTTCATGGCTTGGCAAATAACAAATATTGTTAAATATTCAAATAACATCCCAAAAGAAATGGTAAACAAGACAAGAGAAAAATAAAGATAGAAGAACTCTTGTGCTACCACGAGCTGGGCTGAGGTTTGCAAGCTTCTTCCAAGAGTTGATGTTATATCTCTTCAAGTACTCTACAATTTAGGTTGTCTTAGGATGAAGGAGAGAAGAAAAAAGGTCGCCTTTCTTTTCGTCCAAGGTTCTAGCTTTTCTCCTAAATTACAGCCTCTTTTTAATGTATCTTCCCTTTTCTTTATATAGTGAGGGCTTCTGGGATTTGTTGCCCTCACTTTCTGTGGTACCCTAGGGAAATATTGTAATTCACTTGTGGAGAATAACAGCTGGAAAGGGGACCTTGTGTAGATGCCAAAACAACTCTTTTGTCTTTTACTCCCAGAAATGTTGCCAACAAATTCTTTGCTCCTTGTCCAAACAAATGCCACGATGATTCACCACTTCACACCCTTCCTTGTAAAACCAGTACAAACCATCACAAAGCAACCACCTTTCCCACATCACAACATCATTTAATAAAAATTTAAAACTTACAAGGAAACTCCAATAATGCATGCTAAATGCAACTATATGGAACTAAATGAACTTGAAACCAAGTAATAACCCAAGTAAAAAGGTATTAAATACACATGTTTTACAATATTAATAGTGGTTATGTACCACTAAGTTTGTAAATCTCAACATTCAGATTATTTTGGTTTGCAAGTTAATTGATTTCCTATTTGTGTCCGATGAGCACCATCAGCAAGGAATCTTTAGTATCATCGATCAAAGTATAGTTCTTATTTATTTAGTGATCATATGTATTCATGGATCTTACTTGTATTAAATTTATAACTCTTAACATTATTATTCTTTTTTTTATTTTGGTTTATAACAAGTCGTATTATATAGTTTCTTTTTTTCGTAAATAATTTACTATATTTATTAAATGGTTGTTTTAAAATGATGCATGATTATCAAAAAAATTTAAGGATGAATAGGAGGGTCTCTCTAAAGGTTTAATGTGACATCTTAGATTCACCTTATTTATGGATCGAGTTCAGAATATTACAAATAGTTCTTAGAAAGTATTTTGTCATTTGAGAGAATAAGTACTAAAATTGTTTTGAGAAAACAAATCAAAATTAGCATTCCAATCAACCATTATTCATTCGTTTAAGTGTGAATACTTGTAGTGGATGGTCGTCTTTAAAAAAACAACACTTTTTGAATATATGGAACAAATCTAACGCAACATCTTAATATTAACGAATCAACTTAGGTAATTTTTTATTACTCTTTCTTTCAATTTTTATGATACGTAAGTGATCCTATACGGGTTTTTGAGATGAAAAAAATTAATCTTCTGTTGCTTGGTATTATTCCGATTAAATCGAAACCTTACCAAAAACCCAACATTATTTTATCTTTCACATGTGCATATGATATAATACAGTCACTCCTCACGTCAATCGGTTTAACACTTCTACCTTCAACATACAGGCCCTACCTTCAACATACAGGCCCATGACGCGTACTGAGAGTGTAAATTACACATTCTGCAGATACAGTTGCTCGAACACGAGATCTTTAGGGAGAACAACATTCCCTTTTACCACTAAGGTCACTCATTAGGTTCTAGTGGCGAAGAAATTTTTGTTAATATGGAAAAAGAGGTTAAGAAATAACTGCAAGTAACATGATTTCATGAATTAATTTAGAATTTCAAACCTGTACCTGCAGGAAAAAGTATTACTAGAACCTAATCTATTAAGAATACTACACAACTCTCGCTTACTAACAGTTGCTCTACTGACATTCATAGTCATTGTCGATCAGTTAATATTATCAGAAAATTCTCTGCAGACATGCTAATGATCTATGTAAATAGGTTCTTTTTGTCTTCAAATTGTTGACAAACTCAGACATTAAACTTCAGTAGAGACATTTTTCTTTGAACTTCTTTTTGTTTTTTCCATTAAAACACGAATTATATCCCCCATGTTTAATCTTTGTTGGATCTATGCAGTATAGAATGAAAAATATTTGTAAATTCATTAGCCAAGCAGTAAGATCAAATGTTTTTTATATTTTGGTTTATTAGGTGTTTAAACAAGCAGGATATATGCTTGTTTGACAGCACAATAGTTTCAAGGCATGCAATGTTTGGTCCATTTTCAGTCTTTTAAATTATTATGCAAAACACCCTTTATTTTAATGTCAAAATGAAACAGAATTTAAGTCAATTCAGGGTCTGAAGTCTTGAATAGAAGATTTCAACCAAAGAAAATTACACAAACATGGTCTGATTCTAAATTTATAACAGCATCTACTTAAGTTCTCTTTTATTCATATACAGGTTTGAAGTTCTTGTAAGCTATGACAGCATAAAAAGGGTCTGAATTCGAAAATAACCTGAGCCACTTCATGAACCAACTAAATGGTGATTTGTCGACACGAGAATTACCAGCAGATGGTAGTTTACGGATCACTTCCGGTGCCGTAAACCCTTCGATGCTCTGGAAATACTGCACAACAAGTTGTACTCTACTATATGCAGTTCCATCTCTCCAGGCACTGATTGCTTTCTCATAGAAAAGTCTATTGCTGAAGCTCACTATGAAAACACCTCCCGGCCTAAGAAGCCGAAAAACTTCTGCAAACACCTATAGCAAGCAATCATGGATTCATAATCTTGTTCGGTTTCAGACCCTCTCATTGATTCCTACATAGCTTTATAATCTGATGAACAGAAAATTATAAAGGTTACCTTTTCAGGTTGCTGAAGATACTGCACACTGACAGTGCATACCACAGCATCGAAACGTGCGTCTTCGATCTCGAGTTTCTGATCCTGGTTTAGATCCTTGACAAAGAAGTAATCCATCCTAGAATTCCTGGAAAGCTCCTGAGCGTTAAGTCCATGCCCTACCACTCTTTTGTAAACAACTTCATTTGGTAGATGACTAATCCATGAACTCATGAGGTCAAGAATCTCTATGTCAGGCCTTAACCTCTCCCGATACAAATCCGTTAACGTGGCGATGAATCCATCGTCAACATGAGTGACAAACCTTGGAAGAGCATAGAATTCCCTGTCGGGGAACGTGTTGAACTTGGTTCTGCCTTCTTTAGTTAACACCAAGCGTTTGATTCTGCCTGCCTCTGATTGATTTGCTTCCCTGTTTTCATTCAAAGTGTTTGAAACTCTTAGGGGAATAATCTTTTTAAAAGATTTTGGATTTGGTGGTGCAATGGGTGGGTTCCATGGCTTGGGTTTTGAGTGAATAGGTAGCATATGTTATTTTTGAAGGCTTGAAACTGGTTTCAGGGAATCATAGGTTTGCAGAAGAGCTTGCTAAATAAAAAATTTTGTGGTTGTAAACACATGCAGATATCTCTGGCCGAAAAATTAACATTTGCAGATATCAGTTAAGGCCCACAAAATGGGTATAAATTGGGCTTTTCAATTACTGTGATATGGATATCAATTGAAGATTTCACAAAAATATTCGTCAGTTCACATGCGTTTCAGTTGATCGACCTGAGATTCTGATGGTCTTAGAACGAACATGAAAACTAGATATCAAATAACAAGTAATGAAAAATTTTGAATTATAAGAGTAAGAAAAATAAATTAATTTGCTTGTAAATTATATTTTTTTGATACGTTTAACAAACTATCTATTAAATACATTAAATTTTAAATAGGAAATAACAAGAAACTTTATTAAACACATAACTATTCACACAAAATAAAGCATGACCCTCTTTTAATAAAATGATAAGTATACTAAAATTAAAAAATTCTACGTAAGCGTCTCCATTAATTAACGGTGGGTAGTCAAAACAGAAATAAAATATAACATATGAATAATTTAGAAAAAAAATGGATGACCAAAAAAAATAAAACAAACAAGTGTGTGACCAAATAAAATTTACCTTCTTATTATTATGTATATAAATTTTGGGCCCTAAGCAAGTTCCTCTCCTATTCAGACTCAACAACAAGGCTAATCCTATATTATAATTACTCGTAATTTAATTTTTTATTTTTATAATATTATCGGTTAATTTAAATATTTAAAACGTATATTATTATAATTGAAATTTTAGTGTTAATTTTGTTCTTTGTTTTTATTTCATTTTATTTATTTTGAATTGAGAAGAGGTAATAGGCCTTAACTAATTAGAAACCAGTCTGATATAAAGTGGACCCAAAATGTCGAAGCAGGGACATCATGAAAGGTGGTCACTTGGAAGTTTGGAACGGTGGCGATCTTGGCTATCTCGTGTGCCACTATGTTCTCTTCAAAAGGAATCCAGATTATCTCTCCATACCAGCTTCGATTACAGAGCATGGAAATGGTTCGAATCACGGGGATGGCATTATGTTTAGCGGGTTGAGAAGTTGAGATGTCTGGGAGCTATCAGTTTGGAGTTGAATGAGCTCGAAACTGAGTGTCTACATTAGGTCAAGACCGGTGAAGATTCCTCAAAGCTCTGCTTGAAGAGGCAAAGATATGCCAACAAATTTATTAAAGCCCATCAGCAATGTACCATCCGCAGAACGAATCACTCCATCATTGGACCCTTCGTTCATGCGAGAATCAACTGCTGCGTTGGTGTTGAGGCAATACCATCTTTTGGAGGGATGCTTCCACGTGACAGAATCTTTACGATGAGGCAAAGAGGGGATAGTAAACAGTGCACAACCAAAGAAGTGAGTGGTCCAAGCAACACTTCGACTATAGAATTCATTGATCGAAGGGAAAGCATCTGTGAAGACAAAGGAGTCGCGTCTCTTTCAAATATGCCAAGTTAAGGTTGAAAAAAGCAGTGACCAAGATGTGCTAGGCAGCTGAGAAGAGAAATTTCTCATGAGGTTTTTTTGAGAGCCAATCCTGCGGATTAACAGAGAAAAAACCATGAAGATAAAACAGGTGTAATAGTAAATAACCAAAGCTGAAGGGAAGTTGTTCAATCGCGAAGCACATGGAGAATGGATTCATTAACATGTCCACAAATAGGCCAAGATAGGTCACGAGTGAGGCCACATCGATTACACTCTTGGTTGGTCATGAGACGTTGGTGGGAGGCGAGCCAAAGGAATAATTGAATTTTTTATTCGATTTTCAAAGACCCAAATTTGCTGGATATGTCCCATCGCCCTTCAACCAATTTGCAGTAATCAGAGGAAATAATAAAACAATTTTTAGAGCCCATTTCCAAACACACAAGTCGTTACCATGCAAAGGACTCGATTTATTAATTTTGGCGATGTGGGGAATAACACTAGGCGGGAAAAGAGATGATAACCGATAGAAATTCCAATCTCCGTTGGCAAGGGTGAAGTCTTCAAAATTGATATTATCGCAATCATTGTGGGGAAGGATAGTTAAGAAGCGAAGAGGGCCAAGAGTGAGAACCCAATAATGATCCAATAGTTGAGTATGAGAACCATTACCTGGTAACCAAAGGAGGTTATCACAGAGAAGATTCCAGGTTTAAGCAAGAGATTACAAAAGGGCACAAAAGGGCATCATTCACTGTTAATAAGTTTAAGAGTCGTGACAATATTGTGACACTTACTATGTGTAGCCTTTTGGTGAAAGAATGTGGTATTAGGAGAAAAATTTTAGTTATCTTGGACCATTCTATTAAAATCTTGATGATAAAGCCAACCCAAGAAATAGCGAAGTTGTCTAAAAAAATTAGCCTTCTCAAGATGCCCAATACAATGGATAAGGGGCCTGTGATCAGAGTACACACGAAGAAGATGGGGGACACTAGATTCCAAATAAAGTTCATCCCAGTAGGAGTTGCAAAGAAAGTGTTCAAGAAGAGCGTAGGCAGTGCCTCGGATTCAAGTGAAGTCAAGTCCTTGGTACCCCATGTCTCTTAACTCGGTGTCAAAAATGAATTGTTAAAAGTCTTTGCTCGGACAGGTAGAAGAGGAACAACCTTTATGGTCATTAACAGAGGTAGAGTTGAAGTCACCAAATAAAATCCAAATGAAATTTATGGAGGAGGTAAGAGAATGAATATGACTCCAAACAATCTTCCGCTTAGTGGCATTAGGGCTCGCATACACTAGAGTGGCAAAGGAAGATAAACCTCGATTGGAACGAGTGACTCAAAAGTGGAGAAACAAAAAATGGTGAAAAAGTATATCAACCTGATTTTCATCATACCAGCAAAGCCTTGAGCTTCAATTATATGAGTGCTCGGGACACCCAAAGACGCAATAACCTTATCAGCTTGAAATCTGCTAACTCGAGGTTGCACAAAACCAACATCAAGTTTATTATCTCTAAGAAAATATTTAGCAACAATAATAAACTTCTTATCACTACTACCTTGGACATTCCAAAAAAAGTTTTGATCATCATAAAAAGGATGAGGTAGGAAAATAGTGATACCAACAATTATTCAATCATCGGTGATGCATAGTTCTGCTTCGGGGTATCATTGGAAGCAGTATCAAAAGATTCAGTTTCTACATCCATGGATGGTTGTGGTTCATGTTTATTTAGGGAATAAAAATGAACTTGACTTTGGGTACATAAAACAACATTAGGCGGTTCACAGGGGGGTTATGGCTTATCTGTCTGCATTTCAGACAGAGCATTAGGATATGAATTCTCAAGAAGGATGGTGGCTGTGAGTTTAGCTGCATTAAGAATGGTGGCAACACGGTTGACAAGTTTTTTATGCAACGTGTTATCATCGATGAGGATACGTCTTGACAAAGACTGGGTGGATTTCAAAATGGGTGCATTCATGAGGACTATGAGAGGTTTACGGATTGAGACTGACCCGTGAGCTTTGCGGGCGTGAGTTTCAATCGGTGCTTTTCCCTTGATAGCTACGAGGTGTTTGACATAAACAGAGGGTTGATGGGATGAGGTGCGCTTTCCATGATCAGAGTCTTGAGAATCAGAGATTGGGGTCAGTGGTTCGTCTTCAGTGACATCAAATATGGGGTTGAATCAAATAAGGGGTATATGAAAAGAAATCATCTCAAGATTTCCAATTTCCTTAATTTCAATTTTCTTGCGAAAGCTTACAATATGAAATGCTTGAAGCCGAATTGATTGCACCACATTATGTCTAGTCGTAGCTTCCTCTATACAAAAAATGGTCTCATGAGAAGGTTTGTTTGGTAAACCAAGCTGAAACCCCCAAGGTCTTCTATTGAAGGATGTTGTAATTTTAAAGTATAACTTCAAGATCCCCTTGAGCGTGAAATTCAAAGATGTAGGGCAGAGAAACCAATAATAAAACTTGAAAGCTAGAAATACATTGTCCATGGGAGATTAACAAAGATGAACCAAATGAAAGTTGCATTGTGGAAGAAAAAAGAGTAAAGAGCACAGCAAGAACGCTAAAGGAGATGTAATCCGAGATTAGCCCATATCTCTAAGAAAAAATTGGATAAATCCAACCCTCAAAATATCTCAAATACCTATATCTGATTTTTTTATGACAAGTTTGGAATTGATGGGTAAAGTTATGAAATCAATCAACTCATGCACTTTAGAAGGTGTTATAATTACCCCAACAAAAGCTTCTCCAACATATGTGTAGACACTCATTTTTTTAAAAGATAGAACTAGCAAGAGTTCATCTCCTAAGAGGACTCTTCTACCACCATATCTTTTAAAGCAACAATCACGCCAACAAACGTGCAACAACCGAGCAAGGAGTCTACTTGTATTAGGATTCTATTGTTAATAGGATTCTAAAAATAGTTAGTTTTTTTCACTATAAATACATGTAATCCTCCCAATTTATAAGAGGATTTACAAACAAGATACAAAGGAAAGAATGAAAAATACAAAGGCAAAGCTATTGTAAATGATTCGAAAAGGAAATAAAAGGTAGCATCTTTTTTTTTACATTGATTCGTTCATTTCTCGTATGTGAATGTTATTTTTCTTGAGATTTGGTTTAAATAACCCAAAGCGTGGGTTGCGCCGATGACCAAAAAGGGGTGGGGTTTCGAAGTTTCGAACCTAGATCTACTCCCGAGGCATGTTCATTTTTTTAAAGTATTTAATATCCCCCCTAAGTCAATCATAATCTTTAATTTACCTTGAAATTTACCCTTTAATTTTACTTTTATATTAATTTCGTCCCCTATATATATATTTTTAATTATATATTTTTATTTATTTACTATATTCCTTTTTTTTATTTATATTATACTATTTTTATTATATATATCTTATATCATTATATATATATATATGTATAGATGTATTAATTTTTCTCCATTTACTATGTATATACATTTTTTTCTTAATATTATATTTTATATTTTTTTCTTAATATTCTATTTTTGTT